TTTGTTCCACTCTATCCAGGATCTCCTACACAGACCCCTCTCCGAGTGGTTGACAGTGGTAGCCAGGCACCATCTAGTTCTTCTGGTCTCATAGTCCTATAGGCTGAGATTGCATGGTATACCAGTCACTTGGACTAATTGTTCCCACGTGTCTTTGGTTTTCTTCATTCTTCTTTGCTCTGGACGTGGAGAGACCCAACATTGCATCTAGATGCTGCTAAGCCAATCACTTTTGAGATGTAACAGTGGTGTAGGCACAGAAGCCAGGACAGACTGGGAAAGACTGATGCCTTGTGGACTAAGAACAGATCTCAAAAGAGACAAGGACCTTCCCACAGAGCCAAAAGAGGGAGAAAGCCCTCCCCTCAAGCTGGTCCAGTGAATTCAGACTTCTAGCCTCTTAATCTATCAGAAAATAAATTCCTGTTCATGAAAACCACCCACTTGTAGTACTTCTGTTATAGCCCAATCCATTGCTATCACAACCAATCTGACTCATGGTGACCTCATAGGACAGAGTAGAACTACACCACAAGGTTTCCAAGGCTGTCAGTCTTTGCAGAAGCAGACTGACACATCATTCTCCTGTGAAGTGGCTGGTGGGTTCAAACCGCCAACCTTTTGGCTAGCAGCAGAGTGTTTTAACCAGTGCACCACCAGGGCTCCTATCCATTACAGCAGTACTAGGTAACTAAGGTACTCCTCATCCTCCCGCCTCCTAGCCTCTGGCCACCATCCACCTATTTTCTGTCTCTGCGGATTTACCTTTTCTGGGCACTTCTATAAATGGAATCAAACCATACATGGCCTTTGGTGACTATTTTTTCACTTGAGCATAATTTTTCCGGTCCATCCATATTATATAGCCTGTATCAGAATTCCATTCTTTTTAGAACTGGCTACTATTACATCTCAATATAAAGAAAACAAAAATCCTCACACTAGTCCAACAAACAGCTTCACAGTGGATGGAGAAAAGATTGAAGTTGTCGAGGGCTTCATATCACTTGGTTCTACAATCAATACCAATGGAAGCAGCAGTCAAGACAGCAGATGACATATTGCACTGGGAAAATCTGCTGCAAAAGACCTCTTTCAAGTGAAGAAGAGCAAAGATGTCTCCTTGAAGACTAAGATGCACCTAACCCAAGCCATGGCATTTTCAAAGACCTCTTACGCAGGTGAGAGCTGGACAATGAATCAGAAAAACTGAAGAAGAGTTGATGTTTTTGAGTTGTGGTGTTGGAGAAGAATGCTAAGAGTACCATAGACTGCTAAAAGGACTAACAAATCTGTCCTGGAAGAAGTTAAGCTGGAATGCTCCTTGGAAGCGAGAAATGACCAGACTTCGTCTCACCTACTTTGGTCATGTTGTCAAAAGGAACCATTCCCTGGAGAAGGATATCATGCTTGGTAAAGTGGAGGGTCAACGAAAAAGGAAAAGGCCCTCGATGAGATGGATTGACACAGTGGCTACGATAGGCTGAGGTATACCAAGGACCGTGAGGCTGGCACAGGACCAGGCAGTGTGTCATTCTGCTGTGCATCAGGTCGCTGGGTCAGAGATGACTCAGTGGCACCTAGTAACTATTCCACTGGATGAATAGACCACAGTTGTTCATCCATTCAACAGTTAGTGGGACATTCGTGTAAAAGTTTTTCTGTGGACATACATTTTCAATTCCACTGAGGAGTAGAATTGCTGTCATACAGTAACTGTAGGACCCCTGGTGGCGCACTGGTTAAGTACTCAGCTGCTAACCAAAAGGTCAGTGATTTGAACCCACCAGGCGCTTTGGATGTGGCAATCTGTTCCCATAAAGATTGTTGCTGTTGTTACGTGCCATCGAGTCAGACTCGACTCATAGCGACCCCTCCTTGGGTTTCTGAGGCAGTATCACTACGGCCCCATCTTTCTTCTGAGCAGTGGCTGGTGGGTTTGAACCACCAGCCTTCTGGTTAGCAGTCAAGTGCCTTAGGCACTATGCTACCAGAGCTCCTTGGAAACCTTAAGGCAATTCTACTCTGCCCCCTAGGGTGGGTATAGGGTGGCTATAAGTCAGAATCTACTGGATAGCAGTGGGTTTGTGTGTGTGTGTGTGTGTGTGTGTTAATATAAGTCTAGGTTTAACTTTCTGAGGAGCTGCCAGACTGGTTTCCACAGCTACCGCACCATTTTGCACGCCCACCAGCAATGTGTAAGGGTTCCAATTTCTCCACATCCTCACCAACACTTGTTCTTTTCCTTTTTCAAATTGTAGCCATTCTAGTGAAGGTGATGTGGTATCTCATTGTCTTTGATTTCCCCAACGACTAAAGACATTATCTTTTCACGTGCAGGCCGCTCGGGTCTTTAGGCACTTACCTGAGGTATGGAGCTCAGGAGAGGGGCCGGCTGGAGCTCTGGGGGTCGTCTGTGTAAGTGTGACCTTCATAAGGATCTGAGAGAGCCTAGGTGAGAGTCAGGGGTCCTTTGTCACAGATAACTGGTAACAGGAGTGCTTCTGAACCACGTACGTTCCTGGGGTCCTTCTCACACACACACACACCCACACCCACACACCCACACACACACAGGGCTCAGGAACCTGCATGCTACTCGTTCCCCACGTGACTCCGACGCACCTTGGGGTCTGAGGAGTTCTGCCTTGGTATGGAGGAGAGCACTGGGTCCAAGGGCAGGGTGCTGCATGAAGAGGGGATGAAGGTGACTAGGAGCCCAGGTGTCAGAGAACGCCGCTGACAGACAAGAGGCGGGACCGGAGGGCAGCCAGCGAGCCAGAAGCTCGCGCCGGGACCTTTGCCTCACTTGGCTCCGGGCCCCGCCCCCGAGGTGGCCCCTCCCCGCCACGTCGCTCAGGCCTGCAATTGGTCGCCGCCCTGCCGGGCCCCCATCTCGGCCAATGGGACGGGCGCCGGAAGCCGGAAGTCGGAAGCCCGCGGCGACACGGTCAGAGCGCCCCTTACCAGCTGTTGCCGGGCGCCATGCGAGGACTCTGGCCAGGTCTGAGTGCGCGGTGCTTCCTCTCACGGCAGCTCCCTCCGCGGCCGCGGCGTCCGCCCGGGATCCGACTGTTGAGCCGGCAGACTGAGGCAGCCGGCGCCCTAGAGCGGGCCATGGACGAGTTGCTGCGCCGCGCCGTGCCGGCCACTCCGGTCTACGAGCTGCGCGAGAAGACGCCGGCGCCGGCCGAGGGCCAGTGCGCGGACTTCGTCAGCTTCTACAGCGGCCTGACCGAAGTGGCGGAGCGGGCCGAGCTGCTGAGCCGCCTGGCGCAGGGCTTCGGCGTGGACCACGGCCAAGTGGCCGAGCACAGCGCAGGCGTGCTCCAGCTGCGCCAGCAGCCGCGGGAGACGGCGGTGCTGCTGCTGGCGGAGGACCGGCTGCGCTACGCGCTGGTTCCTCGCTATCGCGGTCTCTTCCACTACATCAGCAAACTGGACGGCGGCGTGCGCTTCCTGGTGCAGCTGCGGGCCGACCTGCTTGAGGCGCAAACCCTCAAACTGGTGGAGGGGCCGCACGTCCGGGTAAGGGGCCGCCCTCACCCCCCAGGCAACGGGGACTGCCGGGCCGCGCCCCCGCCTTGCGTCCAGGCCCCTGCATCCACCCCTTTCCTGGCCCTCGAGCTGCAGACACTTCGCTTTCCCTGGCGTGAAGCCTCGCCCACCTTGCCCGAAGTTACAGCCTTCCAAACTCAGCTCCCACCCTTCCTATGCTTTGTGAGTCTTTGCCTCTTTAGAGCTTACCCCTGCTTCCGTCTCTGCTCTTGTTTTTCTAAAAAAAAAAAAAACCAACCTCATAGCCACCCCTTCTTGGTTTCCTGAGGCGGTTTCATGACGGAAGTAGATTGCCCAACCTTCCTTCCGAGGAGTGGCTGGTGGATTTGACCCGCCAGCCTTCTGGTTAGCGGTCAAGTGCTTTAGGTACTAGACTAGAACTCCAGGTCACCATTGGGTTGCAGTCTTGAGGACCCTATCTGCTGCACCACTTTGGTGGGCGGAGCGTTTTGCAGAGGACTCCAGCCCTAATGTGATGATTTTAAGTTGACTTCATGAGATAATCAGGCCGCTTAGCACGGTGAGCACATGTTAAACCAAACCCACCTCCATGGAGTTGATTCGGACTCAACCACCCTGTAGGCCAGAGTATAACTGCCCCATAGGGTTTCTAAAGCTGTAATTCTTGACAGAAGCAGACTGCCTCAGCTTTCTCCTGCAGAGCAGCTAGTGGCTTTGAACCTTAGCAGCCAAATGCTTTAGCCACTTTGTCAGGTGCAAATAAATGCTTTTAAGTTTAAGCAGTTGTGACTCTAGTGGAGTATAGTCTACTATTGTTGTTAAATATGGAGGGGCCGTTGACCAACCCTTTTTCTGAACAACAGCTGATGTAAATAATTAAGGAGGTTCCTGACATTCAGACCTCAATGAGGTGCAGTTGGCTTTACAGGCTTGAACAGTTGGATGATGGTGTTCTAAGTCATTTAAGAACTCTGAACGCTGGTGTGGTAGTTACCACAATGGTTTCCTTACTCTTAGGTGGATGCTGTGTGTATTCCTTGTTCAAGCCAGTTCCCATCAAGGGGATTTCTGACACAAAGCAACCCCCTGTGAGTCAGGATAGGACAGTGGCCCATAGGGATATCAATGGCTGATTCTTTAGAAGCAAATGGCCAGGGCTTTCTTTCAAGGCCCCTCTAGGTGGACTTAAGCCTCTGACTTTTCTGTTAGCAGCTGAGCATGTTAACAAACACTTTGTGCCAGCCAGGGACTCCTGTAGCCCCTTTTATGGTCAAGGAAATTGATGTTGAGGTCATGTGACTTGTCCAAGAACTCGGGGCAAATAGGTATCTGTCTCCCCGCCAAAGCCAGGGCTCAGTGCACTGCACTGAACAGCACCAGCATGCTGTGTTGGTCATGGTGGTTATCATCAGAAACCTTACTGTCTTAGCTCCTCAGCCGTAGCTGTGTGAAAGTGAATAGTGACATGAATTTCCCAGCCATAAAAAAGGCCCTGATTTACCTGACTGGTTCACTACGTTGTCTGACGGGCCACATGCCTTCAGCCGTAAGAGTCCCAGACCGAGAGCCTGCAGTTACTCATTGCACCAGCACCAAGTCAGTTGTGGATCCTCACTCTGTTGAATTCACCACGTTCCTGGCTACAGCCCCCGTCTGCACAGCTAAGCCTTCCCGCACACTGCTCAATCTGCCCACCTGTCAGATTCACTTCAAGGGAGGGTAGTGTTTAGTCTGCAACTCAAGTAGGCTTTTTTCCTCTTGAAGCAGGGACCAGTGCTCTGCTGTGGTCTTTCTGGAACTTGATTCTTATTGCCTAGAAGGCTTAAGAACTAGATAGTGTGTCATCTGTCCCCAGAACAAGGTCATTCATCCAACACCAATTCTTGAGTGTGTGTCCTATTCTGGGCAAGCTCTAAATTCGAAGGTCACTGCTCTCACAGAGCTTCCATTCCAGCATGAGAAGAGTTAACACTGAAGCACCCACCTCTGTGTGACATAAGTCTGGGCATTTCATGCACTTGCCCCTTTAATCCTTGAGGACCCGTGGGGAACTTACAAGTAAGGTGATTGGAGATTACCAAGGTCAAGTACAGTGCTCAGAGTATAGCACTAGTGAGAGCCAGCATTCAAGCCCAGTCTCTAGTCCAAAGTTAGGTAGTTTGTACCAACTCGGGAAGTTTGCAGCTTAACTAGCTCCAGCATGGATTTGTTTTCTTAAAATATGCCTGTTACTATAAGATTGAGGTTAAGATAAAGCGAGTAGCCCAGTTGGTTAATGGTTTTATTTTGCTTCACTAGGCTGGAAGTGTAATAGGCTCTCTCTGGTTGTATTAACTCTTTCAGAGACTTTACAAGCCATCTACCTTTAAGCAATTTCAGAAGCAGTTACTGTCAACTCATATGTAACTCCTGGCAACCCCACGTGTGTCAGAGCAGAGCTGTGCTCCGTGGCGTTTTCAGTGGCTGATTTTCTGGAAGTAGATCACCAGGCCTTTCTTTCCAGGTGCCTCTGAGTGGATTCGAACCTCCAACCTTTTGGTTACCAGCCCAGTGTGTTGTCCACTCTTACGACCTAGGGACTCCATCATCTCCATGACCACAGGTCAAGTCTACAGTCACCAGCCCCATGTGGCCAGGACAACAGTTCCAAGTCTTTCCTTTAGCATTTGTGGTGCACACCAAGCCATCCTGGACCACGTTTCCATCTTTACTTCCACTGTCACTTCCCTCCAGAATGTTCTTTGATTGAAAGTTCCTAAATCCATATGGTGATGTACTTCCTGCTTGGAAAAGGTCTGTGGGAACCCCACCCACCCTTGAACTCTAACCCTAGCTCCTTCGATGAGCTTGGAAGGTCTGTGGGAACCCCACCCACCCTTGAATTCTAACCCCAGCTCCTTCGATGAGCTTGCCCCAGCCACTGCAGTTCAAGGTGTCACTGCTGTTTTGAGCTTCACAGTGAATGGTGCGTCTGTCCCCTTTCCTTGTATTTTATACGTGAACCATGGAAAGTGGTGTTTGAAACAGCTCCCCAACTAGATCATCAGCTCCCTTAGAGGTGGGAACCATGTCTTCAGTTTCTCACCTACACAAATGATGACTGACACGTTAAGGTAGACTTCTGGGGACCCCACAGGACACATTAGCACAGGATAATCCACCCGTCTGTCTCAAGGTCTGGCAGCTCCACCCTGTGACAGGATTCTGACCTGGAAGGGAGCCGAGAAGGGCTTGGGAGGTTCTCTGAAGCCAAGAGTCATGCATCAGACCAGCCCTCGGCCACCTTCAGCACACTGTGGCCCTGGGTGATTTCTTCATTCCCACCCACGTCTAAATTCTCTGGCTCTGGGAGGCACTACTGAATACATCACCTAGTCCTTTCCAACATAAGAAAACTTGATAAGTACATAGTAGAGAAGAAAAACCAATGGCAACAGAAAGCTACAATGTTGGGACTTCTGTTAGCAGAGAGGAGCTTGACCCTAGGAAACCCAGAGGCTATGGCGATGCCAGTCCTGAGATGCCCATGAGTTTTGTTGGTTGAGTCAGTAGCGACTCAGTGGCCCTGCGGACAACAGAGCGAAATACTGCCCGGTCCTGCGTCATCCTCACAGTCATTGCTGTGCTTGAGCCCGTCATCACAGCTACTTTGTGGGTCCATCTCGTTGAGGGCCTTCCCCTTTTTTCACTGAACCTCCAGCAGGTATGATACCCTCCTCGGTTTTTCAGGGAGAAGGAAATGGAAAAAGCATTGCATGCTCTCAGGCCAGAAATGACATAAAGACGGTTAACAGATGAGTGGTGATTGTTTCACATGGGGTTTTGCGGTGTCTCCTGTATACGTGAGGTTTGCCGTGAAGCAGAGCCGGCCCAACAGCAGTGGAGTCTGGGCATAGCTCACACAGAAGCCTTTTCTAGTGGCTCCATCAGGACTCTGTCTCCTGGAAATCCTAGCCTTCTGACCACCAGCAGCTAGATCTGTCCCTCTGTTCTCCAAGGTTACCTGAGCTTTGTACGAGTCCCGGTCGCTTACATCAGAGAACGTCGTTTCCCTAATCTGTTCATGCCAATGGTCAACCAAGAGCAGATAATGAATCACTCACTGTGTACCATCCATTTTGATCCCCTTGCTTTTACCTCATTCTGGATTTTGCTTCCACAATAAAGAGGAGATGGGTTGGACCGTTTCATTTTTAGGAATTCAACATTAGAAGCCACCAAATGTTTAGCACACTGAGCTTCAGGGCAGGAGCCAGGCCCACACCCTTGTGGCCCTGTGCTACCCTGCAGAGATGCTCCGTGTTAACTAGATGCTGTAGGGGAGCCCAAGGCCTCGGCACTCCTTACTGGGGACACAGCTGCACCGGCCCATGTGCATTTCTTGCCTGTCCCTGTTGACCTTGAACTTGTGAGGTAGGTACAGTGACTGCTCTGGGATACAGCTCTGAACTTGGTCTTGAGTGTGTGCCCTGTCCCACATGCCTTGCTTACTGAGTCCTATAGGTACAAAGACAGTTTCCAAATACATGGCACGTGTGAAGCCATGTAGCCATGCTGATGGTGTGTGGTTTACAGGATGGTGGACAGAGTGGGGTCCTTGGGTGGTGTGAGTGATTTGCACTTGACTGTTCACTTAGTCAAAAGAGCTCTGGTGGTGTAGTGCCTGAGGCACTACTAACTGACCTGTTAACCAGAAGGTTGGAGGTTCAAACCCACAAGCCACTCTGTGGATGGAAGACTGGGCAACCTAATTCCATAAAGATTTACCATCTCAGAAACCCAACGGGGGTCGCTGTGAGTTGGGATCAACAGTGAGTTGATCACTTAGTCACAGGAGCTCTGGTGATGTAGTGGTTAAAGCGTTTGTTTGCTAACCTGAAGGTCGGTTCGAACCTACCAGGAGCTCCCTGGAAGAAAGATGAGGCAGTCCACTTCTGTAAAGGCTTCCAGCCTTGGAAGCCCAATGAGGGTAGCTCTGAGTTGGAATCAACTCGATGGCAATGAATTTGATTTTTTGGACTCAGTCAAGGGCAGTGGTTAAGCGCTCAGCTACTGACAAAGGTTGGCAGTTCGCGCCCACCAGCTGCTCGGCACCCACTGTGTGCTCTGAGGAAGAAAGATATGGCTTTGTGTTTCTGTGAGGATTACTGCTATGAACGCCCTGTGGAACAGCTCTACTCTAACACATGGGGTGCGTGAAGCAGAGCCAACTCACAGGCAGCGGGTTGGGTTGGGTTTGGGTAGTGAGGAGGAAGCCCTGGACTGGGAGGGAGGGGCCCCTGAATAGCTGTGTGGTTTTAACATCCTCACCAGTGGGCTCTGTAGGGAGGTGAGCAGATTCTGTGGACTCACGGTCAGCCTGCTGCTCTTCTAAGAAATGCCCTATGGGACATCGGAGAGCTTTGCTAACACCACAGCTCACATGTGGTCACACTGGGTCAGGGCGTTGGTCTCTGACCCAGCTATGGGCGTGGGCTAGATGGGGGAATCTGGAAGACTGACCTTTCAGATCCGAGCAATACCCAGCCTACGGCCCTGTGCCACATGACCTGTGGGGCAGATCACTTTCCTGGGGTATTTTAAGCCGGATACAGTTCTCTTCTCTCTTGTGGGGATCCTTAGGTTCAGAGTCAGTCCCAAGCCTCTTCTCTGGGAAGAAACAAGAGCTGTTTTGGAGACAGTTTCACAGCCAGCAAAGGTCAGATGGGTGTGCTGTGCTGTTGAGGATAGCAAGGCCAATGTCCAGAGATGATGAACTTGGTCTTCCGGGTGTGAAAAGGCGGCTACAAGCCAGCCCCATCTCTAGACTTAGATTTGTAGTAATTTTTTACTTTGTAAAAAATCTTTGTAGATTTGTAGTAATCATTGGATTATAATAAATTGATCCTTGTGGATTGATTTATTCCAAGGAAGGCATTTCGGTTGTCTTAGTAATTAAGGAATTTGACAGGACAGTGACCATCAGTATCTTTGACTTGTGTGATCTCAAGACCCCAACTTTAGTTTAACCTGGAGAGGGTGGACGTAGGGAGTGGTGTGAATCGGAGAGCAGCGTCCTCACACTCTCCATCACGGGTGGACGAGCCTCCTTTTTAGGTGCTGGTTTTCTTCTGTGGAAGCTCCAGGTGAGTTCAGAACTTGTCACTGTGCTGAGACTTGTGGCCTCCTTGAGAATGAGCCTGACTAGCTTGTTCTTTCATGGGTTGAGCACAGGGGGGAACAGATTCCAACCCACCCTGCTGTTTGCCCCCTGCACTCCTTGTTGTAAGTGGAGTCAGTGGTGCCAGGAGTGTGGCAGGTGACAGCTAGTCTTAACCAGCTGTGACTCCTACCCAGTGCCATGAAATCAATTCTGACTCAGCACCCTTAGAGGACGGAGTGGAACTGCCCCATCGGGTCTCCGAGGCTGTCAGTCTGTAGAAGCAGACTGTCTCATCTTTCTCCCGTGGAGCAGCTGATGGGTTCAAGCTGCCGACCTTTCAGTTAGTAGCCTTTTGTTCAGCTGTGACTGCTAGAAGGGCCCAAAGGCTTGAGGAAGAGTGAGTGCCCCTGAACAGAGTGCCCTCATGCACTTGGAGGTGTGTGTGCAGGTAGGAGTCCCTGGGTGAGGAGTCAGTTAAGCACGTGACTGCAAACCGCAAGGTTGGCAGTTCAAAATTACCCAGAGGTGCCTTGGAAAGCAGGCGGTCATCCACTTCCGAAAGCCATTGAAAACCCTGTGGAGTAGGTCGGCTGTGATATACATGGGGTGACCATGAGTTGGGTCGGCTCGATAACGGTTTAGTGTATAGGGAGCTGTGCTCTGCTCCTGCCTGCCTTTAGGGGTGGGTGTGGTGTGGCTACGGGCGTTTCCTCTTTCTCGGAGATGAGACGTTTCTAAAGGCCCACTTGAATAGAAGAGTTCATTTTCTTCTCGATAAAATGCCCAGCACGGGAGAAGGTCTGAGTGCTGGGTGGCATTCTGGCCCTGCTAGGGCTTTTCGTCCAGGGAGGGTGGGAGTTGAACAGAGTTAGTGCCCTGAGGGAAAGCAGTTCATAGCCTTCAGGCCAGTGACCCTGACCTCCGACAACTGGCTGAAATTGTTCCTGGTTGAGTGCTAAGAGATGACAGACTATCCCCCCGAGCTCTGCCTGGACTGAAGATGGCAGCTGGGGGCCATGCGGCCCTTCTGAACTCTGCGCTGGAAGCTCTTCAGGTGTCGTCGTGGGATCGGCTCTTCAGGGTGGCCTGTCTAGGTGGCCTGTGCAGCCTTGACCGTGTCTGCATAAGCCATGAAAGCAGTACGGAAGGCACGCCTTGTGCGTGATCTTGATAGTCGGCTTTGAATGAGGGGAGCTGTCGGGCTGTGCGAGGCCCTGCCTCAGCCGACTGCACGGTGGTCTGCAGCACGCGCTCTGCGGTACGTAGCAAAGCAGAGGTAACAAGGCGCCTGAAGAGGAGGGCTGAGGCAGCAGCACGTTGGGGAGGGGTCCATGTCTTCTGAAGGACGGAGCCCCTTACCAGTTACTTTGTAATCCACCTCAAGATTGCTGAGCGCTGAAAAGTCACTCACATGTGAAAATGGCCAGGGCAGTGTGGCCCAGAGGTGGTGTTCTCACCTTCCATGCAAGAGACCCGGGTTCGGTCCCGGCCGATGCCCCTCGTGCACAGCCTCCTCCCATCTGCCAGTGGAGGCTTGTGTCCCGCTGTGGTGACAAACGGGTTTCGGCAGAGTTTCTGACCAAAACTAGGGAAAAAGGCCAGGCAATCGGGATCTGCAGACCAGCCAGCAAGAGCCGTGTGGGTTACTCAGGTCTGACCCGCCACCCAGCAGCAGCACTTGGTTCTGCTGCACGCAGGGGCCTGGTTCCCTGGGAGCGACCGTGAAAATGGGTGCTCTCGGTTCACAATCCCCAGACAAGGTGGGAGACAGCTTTTTCTCGGTTGAGAGGGAGGCAGCTGGCTTCCAGGCAGTGTCATCCCAGGTCGCTGAGCTCAGCAGCACAGAGTAAGGTCAGCCCTGCGCGAGTCACCTCCCAGGAGCTTCATCCTCACAGCGTGGTCCTGGGCGGGGAGTGTTCTCAGCCTCATCCTGTGGATAAACGATTGCTGAGTTCATGAGTGGAAGGCATGAGAGAGTCCTTCCCTCCTGTTGCTTGTCACCCGGTACCCTTGCTGCACACTGAGGCCGTATTCCAGCCCCAGAAGCTGTCACAGGGCTTGGAACTAACGGTGGAGACTGGTGACCTTCAACCTAGATTCCCTGTGCTCACAGACCAGTGTCACATGTTATAGTTGGTAATGACCCAGAATAGCACGGATATGCTTGTGGACGGGGTATGGTCGTCAGCAACAGTGAACCAGAGTACTTCGGCTTTTCTTACCGTGAGCCTGCCTGTGGCAGGAGCGGAGATGCCAATGCGCTCACATGGGGCTCAGACAGTCCATTCCTGACCAGTGTGGCCGCTCAGAGCTGGGTCCGTAGACCACTTGGAACGGTCCAGACATGAATTCCAAGGGGTCCAGGAATCTGGAAAAGTGCAGAAGTTTGTTTATGTGTTTGCATATTTGAAGAGCAGTAAGTGCTTTGTCTTGTTTTTTTCATTTTTTCCATTGTGGTAAAGTGTGCATATTAGACGTCTTCCAGATGACACTCGGTCACAGTTCAGTGGACAGCTTTTTTTTTTCCTTAACCTTAGTGGACATATAATAATAGTGTGTCTGACAATCACTGCATTCCTGATTTGATTAAATCATTTTATTCTAGTTTCTATTCACTTACATCTTATCTACTTCTAAAAATGGTATGTTGTTGTTGTGTGCCGTCGAGTTGGACCCGACTCATAGCGACCCCTCCCTGGGTTTCCGAGGCACTATCACTACTGCCCAACCTTTCCTTCCGAAGAGTGGCTGGTGGGTTTGAACCGCCAGCCTTCTGGTTAGCAATCAAGTGTCTTGGGCACTACGCTACCAGAGCTCCCTAAAAATGGTATATACATTTGCTATTTCAGCTGTTTTCACACGTACAATTCAGTGACATTAACTGCATTCACCATGTTGTGAACCACCACCACTGTCCATTTCCAAATGTTTTCACCACCTTTAACAGAAACCCAGGGCCGCTTAAGTACCTCCCTACCTCCCCCTCGCACCAGCCCTGGTAACCACCAGGAAGCCTGGATCTCCATGCACTTTCACGTCAGTTCGCTTGTCCTTGGGGCTTGGCGTTCTGCCGTGTGGTGCTTTCACGTCTTTGCTCCAGCTGGGACCCTGCGCAGGTGGGCTCGATCTCAGCTGATGGCCCATACTCGCTCTCCCCCTTTCCAGGAGATGGACGGGGTGCTGAAAAGCATGGTCTCAGAGTGGTTCTCTTCCGGGTTCCTCAACCTAGAACGGGTCACCTGGCATTCGCCGTGTGAGGTGCTTCAGAAGATCAGTGAGTAAGTATGCACTTGGCTCTCGGCCAGCCCCGCCTACATGTTCATGTCCAGGCAAGCTGGGTCAGCTGGGTGGCACCCAGCTAATCTGCCCAGATGTGGCCGCTTGCAGCAACTGATACCAAGACCACAGTGGAGGAAGGGCCTGGGTGTCAGCACACCTGCCCAGAGCCTCCTCTTTATGTCCTCACTAAAAGCTAGCACAGCCACTTTGCATCTTCCCCAAACCCTGTCATCAGCATTGTGCAGATTCACTGGGTCCCATACTTGCATCACTAACCAAAAAGGCGTTTACTTCATCTCATTGTTAAGAGTTCTCCTTTGAGTAAAACCTCTGCAGTGACAGTGTGACACATAATTAGACTTGTCCAAAAATGTTGCCATCGAGCCAGCCCCCAACTCACGTCAACCCTGTGTGTCAACAGAACTGTGCTCCGTGGGGTTTTCAGTGGCTGATGTTTCAGAAGGAGTTCACCAGGCCTTTCTTCCAAAGCGCCTCTGGGTAGATTTGAACCACCAGCGTTACCTTTAGCAGCCAAGCATTTCATCGTTTGCACCACCCAGGGAGATAGCTTCTGTGAGACACAGTGCATGTGCTCACGTGTCATGGTTGTCCTCATAAACCAAAGAACCTCTCTCCATCTCAGGATCTTCGTATTCCCCGTCATTGATGGGCTCTCGGGCTTAAAACTGTCACACTCTTGGAGGTGTCACAAACTGAAAGGGTTCATAGTGCTGACAGCTGGTGAGTGGTCGGACGAGGCGGCTAGACAAGGGAACCTGGGACAAGTGTCACCGTGTGAACAGTTACTTCCAGCCTGCAGCAGCCGAAGGAAAGCAGAGCACAGCAGCTGGGAGCCTGACTGGGCATCTGCCTGCACAGACGCTTCCCCGGAGCATCACAAACGTGTCTTCAAACGGGATTGCGAATTAGAGCACAACTCTGTGTGTAAAATGGTCATTAATTGTGATTCGTCTTGGTGCTGTTTCACGTGAAAATGATTTTCTTTGACTCTTCTGAGGAGTCAGTTAAAGCTGTGTTTAAAGGCATGATAAATAGGAGACAGCAATGGTTCTTGAACTTGTAAGTTAACACATTTTTTTCTTTTTTATCTTTTTATGATATTCTCACCAGGTCTGAAGCAGTGCACCCCGTAAAAAATTGGATGGATATAAAGCGTCGTGTCGGACCCTACAGGAGATGCTATTTTTTTTCTCACTGTTCCACCCCCGAGGAGCCCCTGGTGGTTCTACACGTGGCCCTGACTAGTGAGATCACCAGCAACATCCAGGTACCTCCCCACAGTCCACTCGGGAGCAAACCAGCCGTCCCGGAGGCCTCTGCAGTGTTATTTTTTTTTTTACTTCATTTACTTCATTTTATCCTGGCTTTCTAAAATAAAGGGCTTCGGATTTTTGTATTGGTTAGATAAAATTTCCAAATTTGCCTTGTTGAACATAGCCACGTAGTGGGTGAGAAAACATCAGTACCCATGTATTGATTGTGAGCAAGCTGAGATGCAGTTGAAGTCTGTCCTAGAACACTTGTGCAGCGGAAAGTGGTGGTGATGGGGGAAGAGGTAGGACACTCGAGTCAGTGTTTCAACATTTGTGAAATGCTGTATGGAGTTTTAAAAGACACGTGATTCAAAAATAAATGACTTACCGTATGCCTTGTGTGGGCCCTGCACTGTGCTGGGCAAGTGAGATATAAGGGAATTTTATAACAAATGTGTCTTCTTCCCGTCGAGTCCAACAAGAATGGCTGGGATGGTCACACAGGTGCACCAGTTTCTTGAACAACAAGGGATGAAGAGTATGGACGATGCAGAGGGACTGGGCTCAGGGGAAGTCCCCAGCTCTGTTTGATGATCTCCCTCATTTTCCTTAGAGCATGTCCTTAACCTTTGGGGGCTTACAGACCCCACTGGGAACCTGGTAGACATGCAAGCAGAGGGCAGTGTGCAGAGCCCCAGGTGTTAGGCACAGCTTCAGAAAGCCCATCCATGGACTCGGGGTTCAAACCCCCCCTGCCTAAATACAAGGTAGCTGCGGGATTTTGCTGCAGCGTCGTCCTCAACGTAAGCTGGCCCTTGTAGCTAAACAACACGTTGGCTCCCACAGTAACGGACATCACCATGAGGACTGGGCTCCTTCAGAAACTCACCCAGATGAGGCCAAACAGTTGACTGGAAACAGAGCAACCAGAGTGGAAACTTAGGAGAATGTTCACACATGGTGAAGAACATAACCAGTGTCACTGAACAGTTTGTGTAGAAATTATTGACTGGGAACCTGCTACAAGCCTTCACTGAAAACACACTAAAGTATTAAAAGAAAAAAAAAAAAAAAGTAAACTGGCCGGACCTGCATGAAGGCAAACTGAAAAGTTACAACTTCCTAGTCCACTCTTATGAATGACCTTCAGAGTATCAGTGTTCAAAGAAGCCCTACAGTCAAAAACAAGCCAATAAAACCACACCTGGGGAAGTGACTTTCCAATCCAAGTCAGCTTCTTGATCATTTCTTGTGCGTTTCCTAGCATCAAAAAGGTGCATAGAAAAGTCATAAAAGGTAAAATTATGTAGGACTGCATATGGCAACTAACTAAAAGGTAGAAAAAGCTGGTTTTTACAGAAAAGCAAAAGGAACTAGAGTTGCCTGGACAGAGGCTTAGCGTGTTACCTCTGGGTATTGTCGGGGAGTGTTACGTAAGGTTCAGTTTGTACAAAGGCCTGAAAGGAAAAGAAGGACATGGTTTGCCCTTCATCAGGGTCTCATGCGAATTTCCACATGGTAGACATGATGTAGCTAAGCGAACAAGCTGGGGTGGTTGTGCAGCCCCCACCTCCGGAGCATTCCCAGTGGGACACAGCCACCACAGCCCCCTCCAGTGGCATTCCTCTGATAGAACGTGGCGGGGGTGAGTGCACCAAAGCCCGTGCTCACAGTGACCATTCCTGTCTTCCAGGCCATAGTGAAGGAATACCCACCCTCAGAAACCGAGGATAAGAGCAAAATCGCCGCTGCGATATTTTACTCCATCAGTTTGACCCAGCAAGGTCTGCAGGGCGTTGAGCTCGGAACATTCCTTATAAAACGTGTCATAAAGGAGCTCCAGGTAAGTGTGCCCAAGTCGAACATGCCGTGTTCTGTCCGCATCTCTGATTATCTTGCCTAATAATAATCCCGGATGAGTCTTGTGAGGTGTTGGGGTTCGTGATTGGTGATAAATCTTGCTGGTCATCCCTCTGCACAGGGATAAAGGAGAGGGAAGAGGGAAGGGAGTAGGAAGATGCCAGATACCCTTGTGCAGTTTCTAGGAACTGTGAGGTTACCAGAGAGATGGGGGACATGTGGGAACAAGCCACCCAGCATCCAGCCTTGCGATTGTCCACACGCTGCAGGCATGTCCTAGGACATCAGCTGTCCCTGGGGTGCCCAGGACAGTCCTGATTCACACGCAGTGTCCTGGAGCCATTGCTATAAGTGCCTGGTTTCACCTTGTGAAGGTCCCAGCTCAGGTGGTGATTGTGCAGTCATCCGAGCCACACTTGACCTCCCCTGGCCTCCCCTGGCCTGTACGCCCAAGGGCTTCCTGGCCCTGACAGGCCATCCAGCTGAGCATCAGCATGAAGGAAGCACACTGGCCGTGTCTGTGTGGCCTGCTTCCCTTTGTTGCTCCGTGATGTTACCCATCCTGCTGCAGAAAGCTCTCGGTGTCGTTCTGGGCCTGGGCTTTAACACTCAAACCAAAAAAAACAAATTCATTGCCGTCGAGTCAGTTCTGTAAACTTTCACCCAAATCACAATAAAAATTAAAAACAAAAGACCTCTTGGAAGGGGTGTAGATGAACTACAAGTAGAATCTCATTATTAGATGTTTTAGGCTGGGTTCTCCAGAAGAGCAAAAGCAGTAAACCATATAAGTATAGAGGGGGGATTGGCTCAGGCAGTGTGGAGGCTGGCAAGTCCCAAATCCGTGGTCAGGCATCAGTCTGGAGGCTTCTCCTGACTCACATGGCTGCAGGGGCTGATGATCCCAGAATCATCAGGTCAGCTCTCGGGCTGCTGGCTCACTTCCCAAGAACCATAGGTCTAATGAAGACAAGTCAGATGCAGGAGAGAGAGAAAGAGGAAACTTTCCTGGAACATCTCTATGTATTAGATGCAGGCCACACCTGCAAGGAAGCTCTCCTTACAGCAGATCACAAAATAGAGGATAATCACGTAATACTGAGAATCAAGGCCTAACACATAACATCACAGCCTATCCCTTGACAACCTGGCACCTGTACATGTCTTTTTATACCATACATAATCACTTTTATAAAGTTGTACTTGGACTTAACATAATAGAACTAAGATGCATATGCGCAAAAACGCGCTAGCTCCGTCTATATCTTATATTTTATAAGTAATGGGGTAAGGAAAGGAAGAAAACAAAAATACTGTATTTTTTATAGGAGTTCTGGTGGCGTAGTGCCTAAGGCATTTGAGTGCTAACCAGAAGGCTGGAGGTTCAAACCCACCAGCCACTCCTCGGAAGGAAGACTGGGCAATCTACTTCCATAGTGATACTGCCTCGGAAACTCAAGGAGGGGTCACTATGAGTCGCAGTCGACTCGACAGCAGTGAGTTTGGTTTTTTTTGGCTTATGTATGTTTATATAAATGCCAAGTACATGTATAATAGAACAAGGAAGAAACACTCAGAACAATTTCAGTCCTCTTTTACAAATGGTTGTAACTGGTAGTTAGAGCTGCTTCTCCCACCACCCAGTCTGTATTCCCTTTGCTCTCAGAAAGCACCTCAGCTGGTCATGGTTCTTTGCCTGGTGGGGTTACCCAAACCTTCACTCCTGAAGTGTCCAGGCCATCAATAGTCACATTGGAACTGAGTTGCTGTAGTTTTCCATTGACTTTAATCACAGAGCATAGTAGTACTAAGAAATGCCCTACGGGATCTCCTATATTCCTGACATGCTCTTTACCCACATTATGTAGTATCAATTAGATTTTCATGTGGTCATCAGAATCAGTCATACCAGCCAGTATGGTAACTCCTTTCTTTGCCTGTTGATCCAGAGACATGAGAAGCCCAAAGTGGCCGGGGGGCATTCTTAACTTCCAGTTCAATGGATCAGTGCTGTCTCCTAAAAGGAGCATTCCACCCTTTGGAACTAAGATCTCTAGAACCACAGAGCATAGGGTCACAGGGACAGGAAGCAAGAATTTTGGGATTGAGTCACTAGAGGTATAGTGTGACACTACTCCCCTTTCTCTACCCCTTGTTTCCTGGACCCGTGAATCCTGGCTGTGGGAATAAAAGCACCATATATTGGATGCTGGTTTAGAGCATATACAGCTTCCTGGAGAACATTGGCCCAACTCTAGAAGGTATTACCACCCAGCTGGCATTGTAATTGTATCTTTAAAAGGCTATTCCATTGTTCTATTAAACCAACTGCTTCAGGATGATGGGGAACATAGTAAGACCAGTGAATTCTATGGTCATTGGCCTGTTATTATACAAAATGTGTTCCTCGCTATTGTGGTAAAAGATACGTCCTCTGGGTACTCCATGGGTGAGTCTGTGGGTCCAACTTGATAAATCCACCCTAAGTTGCCAATTTTCATAAACCCTTGGATACCTTCTTTTACAGGCAGGTCTGGCATTTCAGCTCGATGTAGTATAGACCACCACTTAATCCATGCTTCAGTGAACCAAATAAACTATTAGATCTTCTTCTAAATTCTTGAGCTGAAACAGTGAATGAAGATGTTCCTTGCAGCATTATCCCACACCCTTAATAGCCGTTGCCACACACGTTCCCCAGGTTTCTGTTAGTACATATTAGAGCAATCAGGCAGCTTTTTTGGAGTGTAGTGCACTTCTTCCTGGGTCACACTTTGAACTTCACTTCTTGGGGCTCCCTGGGACGTAAGTCTAGTTAATAGATCTAGAAGCAAGAATGAGTGGCGGATGTGGGTCCCGGGTCGTTCTGCAATGTCTTGTACGGCACCTGCCTCGGGCGATGTTCCAGGCATTGCCCCAGGAGGTGTCTCAGATAAAGACTCTGGGGGCACACCTGGGTTAATCTCATCAGATGAGGGTGAAGGGGTGGGGGTGTCACTGGGGAGGGTGACTTAGCTGACTCACTGGACTGATCTCTTCAGGTGATGGTTCGAGGACTGGTTCTGCCGGTGGGAGGGACTCCATGGAATTCAGCGGCCAGTGTCCCCAGCTTCCTGATTATCTGCCCACGCAGCCCCATCCCAAGTTTCAGGATCCCATTTCTTCCCAGTCAGAGCCCTCACTTTAACCCCAGACCCCATTTGAGGTCGAGAATTCACTTGATGTCGTAATTTGGCCACTCTTACGATAAGACTCGGGCTTTGTCATCAGCAGTGTCAGCTCTGTTACTTCAAGAAATAGGCCTTTCTTTCAGGGCACAAGTGGCAGCTTTCAGGTCTTGTGTGTGGTGCTGAGCGGTGACTCGGCAGCTTTGAGCTCGTCCCTTTCACTGCTTTGTCTAGGAACCAGCTCCCTGACGCTTCTCATTCTGACAGAACTACAGAAAAGTACCAACTGTGCGGTCACCCAGAGCCTGGGCTCTCACAAGTACTTGATCCAAACCAGAAGCACCAAACTCACTGCTGTCGAGTCGGATCCGACTCATAGCGACCCCTCCTTGGGTTTCCGAAGCAGCATCACTATGGAAGTAGATGGCCCCGTGGTATTTTGTGTGGTTCTGTTGCCGCCTCACGCCGTGGGTTAGCAGTGTCCTCTTTGCTACTGGAGGCGGAGTCATCAGTGCCTTTAAGACCAGCCGGGCTGAGAACCAGTTCAGGAAACTTCCTTATAGTCTTGTTCCTCTAGAACTACTCTTGGTACCATGTCTTAGGCTGTCTGTAGATTGATCTGGGAGAAGTAAAACCAGTGAAGCATACAGAGGAAGAGGAGGAGCGAGAGAGAGTGAGCAAACAGCTCCTGCAGCTGTGGAGGCTAGTGAGCTCCAAATCCATGGCTCAGGCCTCAGGCCTCAGTCTTCTTTAGACCCTAGTGGTTGCAGGGACCCAAAGTCAGCAGGTCAGGTGGCAGGCTGCTGGCTCACATCCCAGGAACTGGAGGTGAGAGGGTCAGTTGGATGCTGATGGAGAGTAAACTTTACAAGAACATCCATGTGCGTTGGGTGCAGGCCACACCCCCAAGAAAGCTCCCCTTCCATCAGATCACAGGCCGGAGGAGGATGGATGCCACGATCAGGGCCCCGCCCAGCTGGCCCAGCATCAGCCATCACATTAGGTGGCTTGCTGAGAACTGGCTTGAGATGCTGTCCCCACTTGGGGTGGCTCAGCATGGACACTGCCACCAGTGTTCCTCCTCAGAGAAAGACTGTGGCCTTAGAACACCTCCATGTCCCATGAGGTTCACGGTCAAGTGGACATCCAAGGAGCTGGGGCTCTGCTAGGCTGAGCTGCAGTAGGACTGCTCTCTGCTCCCCCCACTCCAGGTGGTGAAGAGCCACATCTAAATAACTCGCTTCTTCTGGGTCCCCTCTTCATTGCTGAAGGTGCTGGGGAGGTGAGGAGGGGGGTGCATAGGCTGAGAAAGGCAGTCAAAGGATCAAGGCCACAGGGTCTGGGTCATTCGCCCTAAACCAGAGCAGGCCACTTAGTCCTAAACCACCAGGCTCTGAGCCAGAGTGCTGCTGAGAGAGTCTGGAGGAAGCGGTGTTTGCCTTCTACGTGCAGGCGTACATCACGGTTTGTAAAAGCAGAAACTGGGGAGCTGCCTCATGCCCAGTGAACAGAATGCAGTTAGAAAAATTTCAGCACGGCCGTATCTTCTGATATTACATGTGTGAGTTTAAAGGTAATGAGAAAATGCTCATGATACCCATTCATCAGGCATCCCATCCCACTGCCATGGAGTCTCTTCTGACCCACAGCACCCCTAGAGGACAGAGTGGAGCTGCCCCACAGGATGTCCAAGGCTGTCAGTCTTAATGGAAGCAAAGCCCAAACCATACTCACTGCCGTGGAGTCCATTCTGACCCACAGCGCCCCCAGAGGACAGACTGGAACTGC